CCTCTTCCTAAAGTTTTGTCACATACCTTCCCACTTAATACTCTGAGGCTTGCAGTGGTAAAATGTTGCCTTTGTCACTGTGTTAACACTTTGCATATTTACAAAGAAGTAAAAACTTAACTTTTGTAAGGGTACTGAAAGTAAATTAGAAAAAAATGGATAGCTTGAGAAAGTTTAAAGAATTTTTAATCATGACGAATTTTAAAGCCAAGTAGAGAGTCTGGCTTCTTGCAAGGACATTTCAAAGATAATTAGAAGTTCTTTGAAAAACCTTTTACAGTGTGCTGTGGTTTTATTTTATAACAAAAAAAGGATCAGGGGAAGTAGGTGTACGTGGCACTAAACCCCGAAGCATCAAAGCATATACTTTTGGTTTATATCTCATTGCTGGAAACTGTTCTGGGAACTGCAGCACTGAGTCAAACAAGAGAAGCTACACTGCCTCGTATAAAATGTAATTTGTTAGGTGCTAAAACATGTATTTCCCATCAAAGACTCCTTTGCTTTTATTTGAGTCCACATGACAAAGAAGAAAATATCATTAGTCAGTGAAATCGTGTTCAACACTATGAAAATCTCCTGTGGTCTTCACACGAACAAAAAAGGGAAGAAGAATAAAACAGGCATGCTGTGATTCAGCCTTAAAATCAAGTTTAATTTGTTCTGTTTTTATAGTCAACATGCCCAAGATTCAGAGAGATGTTTGGCTTTCATCCCAGCCACAGTTTCTTTTTTTTTCAAAGTGAATCGTCTTTTTGAAAGTGCAATGGAAAATAAAATAATTTTCCATGCACAGAGCCTTGACAGTAAAAAGAGACAAGACAATTGACTCTAGTGATGTGAACTATATTAACTGTGGGGGATTTTGTGTCCGTTACTTTAGCATAAATATATATGGTGTGATAGTTATGCTAAGGGAACAGAGTGAAAGCCGTTTTGAGAGACGGAATCAATGTTAGATTATTACATTCAGTTGATGCTGTATTCAGACATCCTTTAAATACATTCTTATAAAAAACAACACAAAAACAAAACAATTTAATTTGTTAGAAAGTTATGCACTAAGATTAGAGAAGAGAAAGTCAGTCATTTCTTATGCATAATAATAATAATGAATTTAACTTTGCCTCTGGTTGCCCAGAAGAACAACACACAAAGTTTTACACAAGTTGTTAAGCTGTCCATTAGTTACAAAGAAAATTATGAATCAGATTTTACAAGTTTAGTTTCCAGACACAAATGCATGCCTTAAACCTTTGATTAACCTCATCTAAACATCTGACCAGTGGCGGCTGTCCAATAAAGGGTGCTAGGGCGCTGCCCCACCCGACCAATGACCTTGATTAAAACATTTAAAAATAACAAATAAAAGTTTGATTATAGAATTAAAATATTTCAAAATACATCAATATATTTTATTAGATGTGCAAGATAAATATTTAATCTTTAATGTCGAATAAAGCTGTTTTGTTCATCATTGGATTGGTGACGTAGTTCCGCATTAAGGGCGCAAAAAT